TTTCCAATTCGAAATTCACTGTGAAATTCAACTAGCAGTGCTGATTCATTCAATCATATCTTAGTACACACAACTCCAATTCAGGTAATTCCAAAGCCATTTGAAAATTAAGATACAAGGCTATAATTCTTAAGAAGACATAAACAACCAATTCGGTAATATTCCTGGTCAAACGAACCAATTACATAAACTGATTATCAGTTTCGGGCAGAAACAGGGCGGCAGCGGTATTTCGGTGTTTTCACAAGTTACGTTGCTCTGATTGAGTTGAAAATTTACAGGTAGCTAGCTAACGCAATTACCAACAACTTTCATGTTTTGGAAAAGAGCTGATTCGGCCTCCATCATGGCCTAATAGGTCCGGGCAGAACAGGGTAAAAATGAAACTCTAAACTGGAATTCATGCATTCAAGTGCTAATCTTCCACAAAACAACATCTAAAACAACTAAAAACCACTAATAAGCAATGAATTGAAGTAAAGAGGATGTTCTTGGCAAAATACCTTAAAACCACAAGAAAGGTAGGAGCTTAATCTTTCCTCCTCCAAAACAACTCCATCAACACCTTTAACCTTCCTTAATGATCACTTGTATGGTGTAGTTTGTGATTTGGTTAGTTGAAACTCAAGATTTGAGCAAATTTGGAAGCTAGAAGTTGAAGTTTTTTTCCTCAAGAGATTCGGCCAAATACAAGAAAAATGGGAGAAAATTGAGTCAAAATTGATTTTAGGAAAGTTAAGAAGGTCTTGGTCAAATCCAACATCCAATAGGTTTGTGACACTTGGCACCTTGCTTGCTTAAACTTATCTTCTCACTCCCAAAGGTTAATCTATCTAATTAGCCTCTAATAATCTCCTAATACCTTGTAAAATAATAATACTTAGCACAAAAATCACTTAATCACCAAAATTTTATTGCACTAGCGGGTTCCACGTCTATGATGCATTTCAAATTTAACGTACACTAACTTACACTAGAAAAATGATTTAAAACTGTACTTGCTTGTAAAAATGCATAGAAAGTTTAATATTTCCAAGGAAAGTATAAAATGTAGACAAAGGAATAAAATAGTGCTGAGAAAATGTGAAAATTTTTGAGTTCTCACACTCTCTTATAGTTAGGTGTGTCAACGCTAGGTGGTCATACTTAAGGATCTTATTTTCAGACGATTGGTCAGAAGATTTGAAGGCAGTTAAGCGTGCCCACGCCTAACACAGGGGTTCCTTTATTCAAAAAAAAAATCCATGGTTCTTCTTCTTTCTTCTCTTTTTCTTTCTTCTTCTTTCTTTCTTTCCCTTTTCCCCTTTCCCGCTGCTGCCTTCACCCGCTTTGCTGTCCGCCGCTACTCTGTTGCCACCGCACCGAGCACCTCCCCACCCAGCTCCATCCACCGTCTTCGTTCAGCCACCGCTGCTAGCCATCGTTCACCACCAGCTCTCTCTCTCTCCTCAGTCCCTCTCTGTCTGTTCTCATCTCTGCTCAAACAAAGGATAAAAAGAAGAACCGACCAATTTCACTTATGCCATAGCTGCTTGAGACCCTCCATTACGTGATTAGGGAAGTTTCGTTGTCCCTGTTATTTCATATTATATTTTTTATCTCTTGCATTGGGGACAATGTAAGATTTAGGTGCGGGGGAAGTAGAATATTGGTATTTTATTGAAAAAGTGCAAGTGTAGACATTTTTGTTGAAATTTTTTATTTGACTTAGTCAAATTTATCCAATTTTTGCCTATCTTTGTGCATATTGATTTGAGCAATAGCCATTGTTTGAATTTGATTATTTGATTTGTTGTTCTCATATTTGAGGACAAGCATGATTTAGGTATGGGAGAAATTGATAGGTCGTAATTTATTACTAAATTTATAATTATTCTTCCATTGATTTTAGCCAAATATTGCGTTAATTGATGGATTCTATTTATATTTGATTAATGGTACTAAATTATAGGAAAAAGAGCAAAACGTGATAAAAAGGGGCAATCTTCCAATTAATTTGACGGTGGCACATTCGGTACCAATTTTCAAGTTTGATTCAAACTCTGAGCAGCTTTAGAGCGGGTGTTAAGGAGAGGAGGTACCTTCACCGTTGTGCAAAAGAGGGGGCCGTGAGGTAAGGGAGAAGTGTGGGCAGTCGCGAGGCGAGGAGCAACGGCAGGCACGGAGGTAGGGAAGTGGCCGCGAGGCACGTAGCGGCGGTGCGCGGTTTTGGAGGCGCAGGACAGGGGAGAACACGCTCGAGTTGGCGCACGCTGGCGGCGGAACGAGCTGGGTTTCTTCGGCTGGTAGGCGTGGGCTGAACGAGAGAGAGGGCGCAAGGTAATGCGTGGGTGCAAGGGAGTGAAAGAGAGCCGTACAGCAGCGGCGCACGTCGTCCCTAGGCATTGGTCATAGGTGACAGCCGTGTGGGGTGGGTCGCGGCCGGCAACGGTGGATCGAAGCGAGAGAGAGAGAGAGAGAGCTAGTAAGAGAGGCGCGGCGAGGAAAGAGAAAATGGCCGCGGAACGGCTGCGGACAGGGGAGGGCGGCGGCGTGCGAGCGAGGTGGAAGAGATGGCGGCGACAAAAGAGAAGAAGGGGCTAGGGGAGAAGAAACAAAGAAAAGAGGAAGAAAAAAAAGAAAAGAAAGAAAAAGAAGAAAAAGAAAAAGAAATAGGTTTTTTTTTTATTTTGAAATTTGAAAATCCTAGCTACGGTTAAAAGAAAATTTTTTCTCGTTTTTTTTCTTTATTTTTGTTTTTTTTTATTTTTATTATAATTTTAAATTCAATTAATTTTTTAAATTTAAATCCCCTTTTTTATTATTTTTTATATCATTATTAACAAAACTTATTTTCAAAATTAAAAATTAGAGATTAACAGGTAATTGAAAATTTTTCTCGAGATTTGAATACTTACCTTTCCTGCGAACGTGACGCGGGCACGTCAAGAAGGGAAGAACCCTTCTGACCATGAGCTCTCCATATGACGTGATGCTGGCACGTCAAAAAGTCAAGAACCCTTCTGACCATGAGCTCTCAATAAGACTTGATGCGGGCACGTCAAGTCAGAGAGATGCCTACGAATCATCAAAATCGAAAATTGAAGTCAGAAATTAGTTAAACTCAAGGAAAACATATTTAAACTATCAAATAAAACTAAACAAACAATTAAAAGAAATTTGGTTGCTTCCCAATGAGCACCTTTCTTTAATGTCTTTGGCTAGACGTTAAATACCACTCTTCAATCTGGAAATAATTCAATTTCTCTTGTAATCGGTAGCCTTCCTCCGGAATCTAAATAGCCATTGAGTACAATCTTTTTCCTTAATTTTCTACTCATTTTTATCTCATAAATTGCTTTCAACCCCTGATGTTTATTCACAGCAACTTTGAATTTATCCCTACAAGCAAACTTAGAAAATTCTTGCACAGATGGATTAATAGCATGAATAGCAAACATAGAATGAGAGTTAACAGGATGTTTCATTGTATCAAAAATATTAAAGTGGACTATTTCTCCATCAAATTTCATGGACAAGATACCCTTATTAATATCAATTTTTGTCTGTGATGTACTTAAAAAGGGTCTACCTAGTAGCAAAGGCGAGGGGTTAGGGGAATGATCATCATCCATGTCAAGTACATAAAAGTCAGTTGGGAATACCAAATCATTAATTTTGACTTATTTTCAACCAACCCATCAGGGTATGTATTGGTTCGATCAGTTAACTGAATTATTATCCCAATTTCTTTTAATGGACCTAGGTTCAGAGAAGTATAGATAGATTTAGGCATTACATTAATCGATACCCCCAAATCCAGCATGGCCTTCCTAATCAAAGTCTTGCATATCTTACAGGGGATAGTGAATATACGTGGATCCCTACATTTCGATGGGAGTTTTCTGTGTAGAATCGCTGACATAGTCTCCCCCACGATGACCCTTTCATCTCCCCTCAGACTTCTTCGCTTGACGCACAAATCTCTCAAAAATTTTGTATACTTTGGCACTTGTTTGATTGCGTCTAGTAGGAGGATATTAATCTCTATCTTACGAAGCACCTCCAGGTTCTTCGATTTCTCCAACCTGCTAGAAAATGGAGGGGGATTAGTTTTAACGTCTATGATCGGGTCAGGAAATACCACTGGATTTTTGGTACTAGTGTTCTCTGCCTCAAGCTCTTTCTCAATCTTCTCTTCGTCCTTATCTTTTGGAGTCATGAATTCGGACCCTTAAATTTCCATCCTACTCATTAAAGTCATTGCACTTATATTTTTCAGGTTCAATTCAGGTTGAGACGGCAATTTTTCATAAACTTGGGATTCTAGGCGGTTGATTGCCACTGCCATCTGACTCATTTGATTTTGCATGGATTGCATCTGGCTCATTTGATTTCTCATACTTTGCAGGTCTGAATCTGTCTTTTGTTGATTAGCAAGTAATTGTTTCATCATCTCTTCCATGGATGGACTTGACTTCGAAGGGGGTAATGGTAGGCGAGGCTGATACTGCTATTGATGCCCTTGCTGTCTATTTGGTGCGAAATTGAGTTGCCTATTTCCTCCATAGTTGAAGTTAGGGTGATCTCTCCAACCGGGATTATACGTATTCGAGTATGTGTTATAGAACTTTCTTGGCGCGGGCACGTGACCAGTCATGTTCACCTGCTCCATACTTTCCTCTTAAATCAGTGGGCACATCTCCGTAGAATGACCCATGTCAGTGCAAATCCCACACATCTTGGCCTGAGATGCATTTCCTACAGTCAGTTGCCTAACAAACGATGTTAACTTAGTCAACTGCTGTTGGATAGAAGATGTCTCTACGTCATTCACCTTGCGTGTTAGGACATCCTCTCTCGTACCAAACTGTTGCGAATTCTCAACCATTCCTTCAATTAACTCCCATGCTTCTTGAGGGGTCTTGTTCACCAGTGCCCTTCCACTTGCAGCATCAATTATACTCATGTCTCTGAAAAATAGCCCCTCGTAAAAATATTATATGAGCAATTGCTCATTTATTTGGTGTTGGGGGCACTTGATGCACAACTTCTTGAATCGCTCCTATGAATCATAAAGCGACTCCCTGGATGCTGCTTGATACCACAGATCTCTTTTCTTAAACTTGCAGCTCGAGACGCAAGAAAATACTGTTCTAAGAATTTTTTCTTCAATTGATCCTACGTGATGATACTACCTAGTGGTAAGTAGTACAGCCAGCCTTTAGCGGAGTCCTTCAAGGGGAAGGGGAATGCCCTAATTTTTATCTACTCTTCTGTGATTTTCGGGGGTTTTATACTGTTGCATGCGACATCAAACTTTTGCAAGTGCTTGTAAGGTTCCTCACCTAGCAAACCATGAAAAGATGGCAAGAGAAGAATTAGACCAGATTTTAGTTCAAATAGAGTGTTATTATTCAAATTTGGAAAGTAATGAATAAAGACTGTTAATTTAAATCATGAGCAGCCAACTCCCTTAATATTCGTGCATTTGCCATGGTGACTCCCTCTTGGTTCGAATCACTTGAACTATCACTAAGTGAATCTGTTAGTTCAACTTCTGGATCAGAACTCAGAGATGCAGCACTGGAGTGCTCTTCTCTGAGTTGCCTGGTCTCTTTCCTTGCTCTACGTGCAGTCTTCTCCACCTCGAGATCGAAAATTAATTCACCTATACGAGAAAAATGAGGCATGCACTCGAAAAGTACCAAAAAATTAGAGCAAAAAATGAACTAAAAAAGAAACAAATAAATAGCACCAGTCCTCGGCAATGGCGCCAAAAATTGACAGGTTGTCGATGCCTGTGCAATAATAAAAATAAACATATTTACCAATTAAAATAACCAAAACCCGTTTCCAAGTACTGGAGCAGGGACTCTAGGTGTGCAATAGATTACTTAATTCACCCTATTTCCGAAGAATTTACTTGATCCGATATACCCGAATGTGATGATTTTTTCACAACTAATTATTAATTTGTAAATATGGCAAGTAGGATCGTATCCTCAAGGATTGGGGATATTCGTCTCTTTTCGATATTCAAAGTCACAGTGGGGGTGTTTTTGTGTAAACGATGACAATAAAAAAAATTCAAATAAAAATAAATAACTAACTAGAAATTAAATGACAATTCACTGAAATTAGATTAATAATAATTGAAGGTCTAACCAAGAAATAACTTTAGCAATGGTTTACCTAATTGATCATCGATGCAAATGTAATTCCCATTATTTACTGATAAATAGGTTATAACTGCCAAATAAGCGATAACAGTCAACTTCTCTTTACTGTGTCGGTGATTAAGGTACGCCCGTTAATCACTACTCTAATTGAGAAATAATTTTAGGTGCGCCTGTATTATTTAATTTTTTAATTACCTTACGTATTAGAGGAGTTCTATTCCAACCAAATAATGCACTACCGGGGTTATTTCATATTAGCTCGTGTATTTCCCGACACAAATCTAATCATGCCAGTTGCACTATTTCAGAGCAATTAAACAATTACAGATTTAACGCCCCAATTGACAATAGATTATCAAATTAACTAATTATCCGGATCCAAGACAATCAATTAATTGAACAATCATAAGCACTGTAATCAGAGAATATGCGAATACCAATAAATAAAAGAAAAAATAAAATTAAATCGACCTCACAATTTTTCGACGAACCAAACTTTCCATTGTTTTTTAACTAGAAAAGGGAACTTAGTTCATCCCGGATACGAAAAACCCACACAAAGGTGAAGCATGAATCGCGACCATTGTCTCGAAATTTGGAAAACTTCAATTCGATCGATGGAATAAAGAAAAACAAAGTTACAAAGGATGATTAGTTTTCCTATGGGTCTTGACACACGGAGGAGAAACACGAAAGACCAAAAGAAATGTCAAAAGAAAAGCTAAGTTAAAAGTAATGCTAGTTGTCTGCACCTATTCCTATTTAATTCCTACTAAGTTGCCTCCCCCTGTGCGACTGCCCAGCGAAAGAAAAGAAAAGTGAGAGTCCAACCATTTTTTTTCCTTGCTGTTTTCGACCTAATTACCAAAAAGAGCTTGCGTTTCTTTGTTTCAAAAATGCCCCTGAATGCCTTCTATTTGAATTCTTTTTTGATAACTGTCAAATTGGCATTGGTTGTGATATTTTCGTTCTACTCCCTGAAATAAATGTAAATTATAAAAAATGAGTAGAATCTAATAATTAATCCACATCAGATCAGGTAATAGGAAAAATTAATAATAAAATAAATGATAAAATCGCAATCTATCATATATTATCATGTAAATGAATCAAAATTGGATTTACGTGCAAAGAAGGCTCTCTTTATGGGTTTTAATGTTAGAGTTAAGGTATACTGTTTTTGGTGTCTAGAAGCGAAGAAAACCATTATCAGCAGGGATGTTACCTTTGATGAATCTATCATGTTGAAAAAAAGTAACACAAAATGGGACCAGTGGTACTCCGCAATAGGTGGAGTGTACGCCAAAACAGGTGGAGTTTGAGCAAAAAATGGCAAGCCCAGCAAACAGCACCATCAGTGACTCTCCCATGGCAGAAGAGGAGTCAGACGAGGAAGAGATTTCAATCCAAGAACCTCAACAGCAACACAAATCAATTGCCGTAAATAGGCCAAGACGAGAAATTCAAAAACCTGCACATTTTGCTGACATGGTGGCCTATGTACTTTCAGTTATTGATGATGTTCCATTCACCTTTTCTGAAGCAGTACAAAATACAGAAAATGGTAGATGAAAAAATACTATGAAAGAAGAGATGCAATCTCTTCAGAAGAGCAAGACGTAAAAGTTGACACAACTACCGAAAGGTAAGAAGGCAATTGGATATAAATGGATATTTGCAAAGAAAGAAAGATTTCCTGACAAAAATGATATTCGCTACAATGCAAGATTGGTGGCTAAAAGCTACGCTCAGAAGAAGGGAATTGATTATAATGAGGTATTTTTTTCAGTTGTTAAACATTCCTCTATTAGAATTTTATTAGCCTTGGTAACACAGTTGAATTTGGAGTTAGTTCAACTTGATGTGCAGGTTGCGTTCCTTCACAGTGACTTAAAAGAGGAAATCTATATATCTCAGCCAGATGGATTCAAAGTTGCTGGTAAAGAAAATTGGGTTTGTAAGCTGAGCAAATCATTATACGGATTGAAACAATCACCAAGGCAATGGTACAAACGATTTAACCAGTTCATGATGGATCAGAACTACACAAGAAGCAAATACGATCACTGTGTGTATTTGCGCAAGTTACGAGATGATTCCTACATCTACTTACTCTTGTACGTTGATGATATGCTGATAGCGTCAAAGAGCGAAGTTAAAATTGACAAAATAAAGGTTCAGTTGATTAAAGAGTTTGAGATGAAGGATTTGGGAGAAGCTAAAAAGATTCTCGGCATGGAGATAAGTAGGGATAGAATGAGAGGCAAGTTTTGTCTGATACAGAAGCAGTATTTGAACAAAGTACTACAACGTTTTGATATGAATGGAGATTCAAAACCTGTAAGTATTCCGCTTGCTCCTCATTTGAAACTTAGCAGCCTATTATCTCCAAAAATGGATGAAGAACGAGCATACATGATGAATGTCTCATATACTAATGCAGTTGGTAGATTGATGTATGCAATGGTATGTACGAGACCTGACATTTCACAGGCAGTTAGTGTAGCAAACAGGTTTATGCATGATCCAGGTAAGGGTCATTGGCAAGCTATGAAATGGATTCTACGGTATATCTAAGATACTGTAGATGTTGGATTAGTTTTTTAACAGGATAAATCACTTGGTCAATGTGTAGTTGGATATTGTGATTCTGACTATGCAGGTGATTTGGATAAGCAACATTCTACAACTGGCTACTTGTTTACGTTTGCTAAGGCACCAGTTAGTTGGAAATCTACTTTGCAGTCAATGGTGGCTTTATCTACAACGGAGGCAGAGTATATGGCGATTACTAAAGCTGTGAAGGAGGCAATTTGGCTTGAAGGCTTGCTTGAAGACTTGGGAGTTGGTCAAAAACACATTGACGTGTTTTGTGATAGTCAGAGTACTATTCACTTAGCAAAGAACCAGGTCTTGCACGCAAGAACGAAGCACATTGATGTTCGCTATCATTTCGTGCGGGAAATTCTCGAAGAAAATGAGATTTTTCTCCAGAAGATTCAGACTGCAGAGAATCCTGCAGATATGCTGACCAAGGTGGTTACAAGGTCCAAGTTTGAACATTGTTTAGACTTGGTCAATATCCTGCACATTTGAGTTGGTGCCTGAGAGCCCAAATTTGGAAGCACCGCAAGAACCGTTTGATTTTTTATTTGGGTGAGAAGATTTGTATTTTTTTGTGGGATTAGAAATTATGTCAAGGCGAAAATTTGTTGAATTTCAAAGCCAATAATTGTTGACTTTGAAATTTTTGGCCTAACTTTCTAAATGCCACATCGGTGGAATTGAGAGTTTAGGTAAGAGCTTGAGAGTTATAAATAACTCTCAAGCAAATCAACTCAAGAAGTGCCTCCAACAAAGAATTCTTTTGTAATTCTTTCTTCTTTCAAAAATTATTAAGAGCGGATCGCTTGAGCGGTACTTGGAGATTAGGCAAAATTGGCCGAACTCCGTTATCAATTTTTTGGGTACGTTCTTTCCTTATCTCTTTTATTTATTCCGCATTTATTTAATAGTTTCTTTTCTATTGTAGTATAGTATTCAAGATATTTGTCGGGTTTATTTGTAGTGTTTTATACTGTTCATTTGGGTGTATTTTTTTTTTCATGTGTACATATTATTTATATATACATGGGTCTAATGGTGATAATACACTGTGCACGTAAATTCTGTCTAAGAGACTGGGTCTTAAGTGAGACCGCTTGTGACCCCTCCAGCCTTTCCTAAAAATTTACTTGGAATGATAATTCTGTCTAAGAAGATTGTTTTAACGATCTTTCCTAAATATTACTAAATCGGTTTAAATCACTAGTTGAATTTTTGAGTGAGAAATTACCCGATTTCCCCAACAAGTTGAAAGGAAGATGTTAGAAAAAAGAGGAGAGTTGAGAGAGCAATTGGAGAAAGAATTATTATTGCATGAATGAATTCAGATACAATTTGCCCTGACTCTTCCTTCATCTAACCTTGGTATTTAAGGACTAATGCACCTATTATGGTGGCTATTCTGTAGCTAACTCTCCAATTACTGCAATTAAGTGGAACACAATCCCTAATGCACAAAATGACATTATTTCACCCATTGTCCATGACAATTTCCCTCCCTTTAAGACTGAACCTTGTCCTCAAGGTTTGAAGTCAGGAAACTAATTGGTGATGAAGGACAAATCCTCCCACCAATTTAGGCTCCAGTAAATAATGATCATCAACATCAAATTCTATGGTAGGCTTGAATGGCGCTTGCTACCTTCTTATTTAATAAGGAGACATGGAATACTGGATGTGCCTTGACTCTGGGTGGAAGCTTCAGCTTATAGGCCACCTTCCCAATCTTTTGAATCACCTCGAAAGGTCCATAAAACTTAGCAGCCATCTTCAAGAATTTTCTGAATGCAATTCAGTGCTGCTTGTAAGACTGGAGCTTCAGGTATACCATATCCCCCACTTGAAACAACTTCATCATATTTTGCGCTTTGGTCAAATTATCTTTAAGAGTCTAGAGGATTGAAAGTCTATCCTGTATCCAATTATTGGTTGCAGGAATAACTGAGTCATGAATATGACATAATGGTAAATGCAGGGGCTCATATCTATATAAAGCCTGGTAAGTGTAAGGACTCGTATATAAAGCCTGGAAAGAAGTCATTTTCAAACTGTTGTGAAAGTTGGTGTTGTACCACCATTCAGCTAATGCAATCCATTTGCTCCAATTATGTGGCCTTTCTTGTCATACAACTCAAGTATACTTTGAGACACTGATTAAGCCTTTCACTCTAACCATAACTTTGGGGATGGAAAGTTGTACTATAATTCAATTGAGTGCCCAGTAGTCTAAAGAGCTCCTTCCAGAATATACCAGTGAAGATCTTATCCCTGTATGTTACTATAGACTTTGGTAATTCAAGAAGTTTGTAGACCTGGTCCAAGAATTTCTGTGCTACAAGTTTAGTAGAAAAAGGATGCTTCAGTGGGATGAAATGTCCAAATTTAGTCAGTAGATCAATGAATACTAAGATTTTGTCAAAACCATCAGACGAGGGCAATTTCTCAATAAAATCCATTGTAATATGTGACTATGTCTGTGTAGGAATAGGCAATGGTTGCAGCAAACCTGTATAGGGGACATTTCAGTTTTATTGCGTCGGCAGACATCATATTGTCTAACAAAGGTCACCACTTCTTGCTTTAATACTGGCCAGTAAAATAGAGATTGACTTTCTATAAACACCCTAGTTGACCAGAATGTCCTACTGATGAGGCAAGTAACTATTGAATAATTTGAGTTCTGAGATTAGCAGAATTACCCACATAAATTTGTAACTAACTCTCCAATTACTGCAATTAAGTAGAATGTACACCCTAATGCACAAAACGACATCATTTCACCCATAGTCCATGACAAAGGGCTGGAATGGGTGGGGATCGGAGAGGGAGCATTGGTGTATATATACAGATTATGGACTGGAGAGTGTCCTACTCATTTTTTTTTCTTGTAATCATAGGGAACTTCAACTCTGCAAAAGGAAAAAAGAAAAGAAGAGGAGTTACGAATTCGAATTAGGGATTTCATGATCACCTATCTAATATCTCTATTAACTAAATTCGGTTTTTAGGATGTTCCTTTCCTTTCGTTTGTACTTAGTTCTAGAAACCAACATTGTTGATGTATAGTTTGATTAAAGAAAATAGAATGATATTTGCAATATTCTAATCGAGTCAAACAAAAAAAATTAGAGGAGTATATGATGACATTTGTTAGGATTCAAGCGCAGAACAAACATCTATTGAAATATCAAGTACACAAAAATTTAATGATAAACAAGTCACAAGTATGAAAGATAAACGACACATAATATTTAACGTGGTTCGACTCCACCATTGAGTCTACGTTCACGGAGAGAAATCCGTTTTTTACTATGAGAGGAAAATCCTATACAAGAATACAATTTGAATCCAAACCCAACCCTTGTATATCATCTCCCATTTTTCAAGAATTTTCTTTCACCACCCATGTATAAGATTACATGTCGCCTCTTGTGTGCGCTTATGTATATCTTTGTAGTATGTCAATCCACCTATTTATAGAGAATATTATTTAGCCAAAAATTAAATAATAAAAGGAAACCAATTCTAATTCCTAAACTTATATAGAATAGGAAATAACTTCTTAATTCTAAACAAAATAGAAAATTTCTTGACAACTACTCCAAATAACTAAAACCAGTTAGGAAACTAGTTACTTTCACACAAAACAAGAAACTTGTCTAAAAGAAATTAAGCCAATTTCCTAACAAATTTTTACCTTGGCAAAAATTTCTTTTAACAACCATTTGCCTTCAACTATCAAATAATATGGTACCGAACTACATACTCGAATCAATATAGTTCTGACATCAAATTAATTCAATCACCAAATGAACATGTGTAGTTACCCCGAATTCAACCTTCAATTGACTCGTGAGAAGGTGCCTTAATTCACCATCTCCCTTCGTATGATTTCTTCTCACCACCACTTGCAATCCAAGATCCCCTTCTGTGAACTCTAACTCTAATCATTGAGGCAATCAAGTGGTAAAATCACCATACTTTTTCTCATCCTTAGAACTATCTCGCCACATGTGATTTTCAAAACTCCACCTAAAACGAAAATCTTATAACTATCAGAGTCTTCCGGCGCATGGAAATTAGATCTCTTTGTTTTTTTGAGACATGTGTCATACCATCCAAAGAATATAGCCGAAATCTAAAAATCACCAAAATAAAGTATCAACCGTTGGAAGTGTGAGAAAGTCTCTACCAATTTACATTCAAAATCAATATTGGACTACACTTTTTCCTTGACCCTTGAATCACATGTCTAGATTTACCATCAATTATCTCTATACTTTTCGACTTTCCATCCTTCACCTTCATTGTTTCTTACCAAATTTTTGAAACAAGAATGCTACCCATTAAATTGTTGAATTGGTAATAGACACCAACCCACTTGATTTCAATAGTTAACCAGGATCCAACCATGAACCTTGCTTTATTGCCCATAAGCAGCCCAATCTCACAATCAAGTTCTGATACCACTTGTTTGAATCCAAACGGGAAACAAAACAACTATTGAGATATCAAGTACACAACAATTTAATGATTAACAAGCCACAAGCATAAAAGATAAATGACACACAATATTTAATGTCGTTCGATTCCACCATTGAGCCTACGTCATTTTTTATTATGAGAGAAAAACCTTATACAAGAATACAATTTGAACCCAAATCCAATCCTTGTATATCATCTCTTATCTCCAAAGAACCCTCTTTCATCACCCATGTATAAGGCTACATGTCGTCTCTTGTGTGTTCTTGTATATTTCTTTATATTATGTCAACTCACCTATTTATTAAGAATATTATTTGGCCAAAAAAATCAAATAACAATAGCAAACTAATTCTAAATTCATACAAAATAGGAAATAGCTTCTAAATCGTAAACAAAATAGGAAATTTCTTGACAACTACTTTAAGTAACTAAAACTAATTAGAAAACTAGTTACTTCCATACAAAACAAGAAACCTACCTAAAAGAAATTAAGTCAATTTCCTAACAATATTAAAAATGAAATAAGAGAGCAATATCGACGTCATTTTTGTTCTTTAAATGTATTCAAAGAAACTTTTAACCGGGTTAAAATGCCTATTACATTGGTCAGGGGCTAAGTGTAACTAAAGTGGATTCAAGAAGGTGATGTGCAGGTAACTAATTCAGGAGCTTAGGATCAAAGAATGACTATAAATTATTTATCTTCTAAACAAGAAAAGGGGAAAAGTGACATGAATGCCAGCGCAAAAGTAAGTGTATGAATAAGTAAGTGTATGAATGCCCGGGCAAAAGTAAGTGTATGCGTTTGTGCTTGTAAAAATATATCTGTTGGCAAAATCAATGTGCGATCTTATATGCATGTGTGTAAATTCTATATATGTGGAAGTGGATTTTCTGGCTAAGGTCATGTAATCTAATTGAAAAAAAAATTAATGGATTAAGTTGTCACTTGATTATAAAGTTCAATGAGTCAATACATTCTAACTTGTCTAAAATTCACATTTGAGTTGCTAGATTTTAAAAACTCATTGACGAAAAACATCCTATTCTAAATTTATTTTAAGGATAGAAAAACGAATCCTGTCCCCTTTTGTTCTGTGAAACATAACTTCTTTAAAAGATTAAAGACTGTGATTGTCACCTGAATTCCCTCCCCCCAGATTATTCAGTGTATAGGTAAATTTTCAAATTTCCACACAAGAATAGATTTTTAATACTTCAAATCTGTATTGTCCAATAAAATTAATTAGATAAGAAACGTAACTTTAATTACGAATAACAACTTGAATAATTACCTAGCGGGAAAAAAATACAAACAATCTGCAACACCAAAATATGCTCTGCAAATATAAAAGCAACATACCCGTGCTTGGTGTGCTGTTTGGAATCATTGAATAGATTTATATGATAAAAATGTGTAGTCAATCACGGAGTTTTGGCATAGAATTGCTCAAGATAAATTTGCAGTTTGTAGGATGTCAGCTTCGAAGCCAGTTGGGCCACCCGTTTCAGCTGCATACGGGACTTCTGAAGGCTGCTTTCCGTATATAAATTACAGGAGAAGGCATGTCATAGATTTACCCCACAATTTTGAAACGCTAAAAGATGAAGTGGATATTCTCCGTGAACGTTGGAAAGACGTCGATGACTATATAAGTCGTCAATCAGCGACCAGACAGAAAAACGATAATTATGCAGCTCTTCATAATACCTTATGTCGGATATTGAAATATTACCAAGAGAGAATCGTCAACCGATACAAAAAGCTAGTTGGACTTGAATCAGGTGCAAACGGAGAAGCTGGAAACCAAACACCGGTCCATGAATTGTCACCTGCTTCCAAAGGTTGGAAGAACAAATTTTATACCCCAACATTCTACAGACTTTTAAGGTTGGATAGAGATGTTCTCAAGTTTATGACTGAAATCACTAATCTCAAAAATAAGATTACACTTGAGCTTGTTACTAGTCGGATAAATCCAGAAATTGTTGTAAGACAGAGTGCGCAAGAACTAACTCATGTGCCTTCACATCAAGCGGTCCTTGAGATCCCAGAGGACTGGCTATGTGACCCAGGCTGCAAGAGGATTATCATTCACAGAGAACCACAAGTTGGAAAAACAAATATTTTGAGAAACTTGAATAACTGGTTCGTTCAATGCCCTCCCGACCTGAAATTGGACTACGTCATTTGGGTGAACTTTCCGACTGATTTGCCCAAGCCAGAGGACATCATCACTGACATACAAGAGAAAATTATTCAGCATCTGGACTTAACTGTGCAGAATAGTGGAAGTGGGAAAAAAGGACTAATATCTAGTGCACTACTACATGAGAAATCATATTTGCTGCTTTTGATGGGTTCTCTTCATCAATTGAGCTTGAGGACATAGGAATCTCTGAAGAACACAAGCATGGGAAAGTCATCATTGAGGCTAAAGATCCATATCTTCTGTGCAATTTTGCATTCAACACAGAAATCAAATTAGAGAAGCTACCACCCCAAGATTCAAGGAAATTATTTGATAAGATCATTGATGATGAAACATTTTGTAAACAAAACACAGTTCTAGCTGACATGATCGTTGAGGAGCTAGGTGGGCTTCCGGGAGTGATCGCATCCATAGCAGGACAGCTGAAAATTAATAAACGAGTAGAATACTGGGAAGGTGTGATTCAAAGATTGAGAGCAGATATTTGGGACAGTAATCTTCTAGGCTTGGCAGGCTTGGCAGGAGTAAAATTGGATTTTGATACAACTTATAGTAAATTGAAAGAGAATGATCGAAAGTGCCTACATTATGCAGCATTGTTTCCAAAAGGGTTCACAATTCCCATAGATATTTTGGTCGAATGTTGGAAAGCTGAAGAGTTTCTATGGTGTCCTACTCCTACATTCTCTCACGCACGAAGAGAAGGAGAGTGTGTACTCAACCAGCTGACAGAGCTTCATCTCTTAGAGATGTGTTCTGAGCACCATTTCAAGATGCCAATAATCTAGAGGAGACTTGCACTTGAAACACCTTTCCCTAGGGAGAAAAGTGCAACATCCTTTGTCAGGTCGGGTCCAGAGATAGACGCACACCTAAAAGACGAAGAATGGGAGATGGCCAGAAGAGTGTCTTTGATACGAAGCCAATTAGAGGAATTACCTGTGAACCCGAAATGTGAGGGCATATCAACACTATTTCTGCAACTTAACCCAAACTTGAGAATCATTGAGGAACTGTTCTTCAGAAGGATGAAGAACCTTCGAGTTTTGGACCTGCACAGCACAGGAATAAAATTGTTGCCACCTTCTATCTCCAACTTGACATCACTCCGGGGTTTATACCTCAACAATTGCTGTGACTTAACCGTGCTCCCACCTGAAATAGTGAAACTCAAGAAGCTTGAAGTTCTTGATATTCGAGGCACCTCAACGGCTCAACCCATTGTTTGCCCGAAGAGATCAGCAGTTTGTTTGGCCTTAGGTGCTTGAGGTTTTCATTTGTCCTTGAAGCGTGCAATCCCAATCCGGAGCTAGAACGGACATGGCTGATATTTTCCCCCGGAACAGCTGACCAGCTAAACAAGCTCGAGGAGTTGACTATTGTCTTAGTAAATGGAAGCAATGACGGCATTGTTGATCGAATAAAAGCAGAGGTGCTTGAATTTGAGAACAAAAATAATCAGTTTAAGTTAATTCTTCATAGGCCGTCCCAATCAGTGGACCAAGGGAATCTCGTTCAACTAAAGGGACAGGCAGTATACCTTCCAAATCCAAGTGTTCCTGCAAGTCATGTTCATGATCCAACAACAGGAAACTGTTTCCGAGATCAGACAACAAGGTAACCCTTTCCTTCGTGATCTGTTGCACCTTTTTAAACACCAAAAGAGGGCAAAATTATCCTACAATGAAAATGTTTCTGTTGGTTTTTTGGGGCATGAACTAAGAAACAACACCTTAGTGTTGCAAAAAAAGCTTATAAGAGACTTGTGTTGAAGGTGGAAAATGAGCTTACTGTTCTACATTCATCAACTCATTATTTATAGTGATTACATGAAACAAACTAGCAAAATATTCAACTAACAATTATCCTAGAAATCTCAACAAAATATAATCTCCTTCTACTAGCAAATCTTATCTAAAATATCTGTTAACAAACCAACATGATCTTTTGTTAACAAATATCCTTATTTTTCTAATAACTAATTTTTGATATCAAACTCAATTTGATAAAATCTGTAGGAAAAGCTGGCATAACTCAACACTCCTCCTTGCCACTTTTGCTGCAGATTTTTAATTTTCTTCTCAAATCTTTGAACCTTGTTTTGGACAAGGCTTTCATAAAAATGTCTGCAATCTGGTCTTCAGTCTTGCAATGTTTCTTGAGACAACCTTCAAAGCCAATATCAAATTTTCTGATGTATTCAAATGACTTCTTTGCAACTTGAAAGTGAAACTCCCATACGCAATAGATGAACCTGAAACAGAAATTCGCAATACAAAAAAAGATTGCTATGAGAGACATAAAACAATCATTCAAATTTTTGTATGGCCTTTCATCAGCTTTGTCACTACCATCATCCTTGGGTAACTTTTCATGAATTTCCACAATGTAGCCTCCTTCAATTGTCTCATCAATGATCTCCTCCTGAATTTTAGCATCATCTAAATTTTTTGGTTCATAATACTGCACCTTAGAATTGTCAATTTCTGACAAATTCAAAGCAAAATTTTTGCCTCTCATTTTCACTGAGAAAAGTTCATTCCCAACTGGATCATGTATAACACAAGTCCTGTTTTTGAAGATGACAGAATAATTCTTCTCCAATAACTGTCCAACACTCAATAGATTTTGATTAATTTCAGGCACATACAAAACATCAGAAATAATTTTGGTACCTGAACCATAATCAATAGCAACACTACCTTTGCCTTTCACCTCAATATAATCTCCATTTCCAATTCTGACTTTGGAGATTTGCGATTTATCAAGTTTCCTAAATATAGATTCATCATAAGCCATGTGATGAGTGCAACCACTGTCTATTAGCCAAGTTTCAGTACTGAAATTATTGCTTGCAAAACAAGTGGCTACGAAAAGTTGCTCCTCATCTTGTTCATCAACCATCTGAGCATGATGTTCTCTTTTTCCTTTATTTTTGCAAACTCTCTCCATATGTCCCATTTGCTTACAAAACCTACATTGAACGTCAGGTCTAAACCAACAATATATTGAAAGATGTGAGGTTTTCTTACAGTGTGGACACGGAGGATTTCTGCCATTTTTCTTCTCATCTTTGCTAAATTTTTTTTGATCATTTCTCTCACCTTGTCGAATTTGATCCTCATTTGTTGCTTGAAAAGCACCTTCAATGACTTCTTCAGTTCTTATGGCTCGTCTTTGTTCTTGTGCCTCTAAAGCATTGATCAATTCTGGCAAGGTCATCTGAAATAGATCCCTTGAATCTTCAAGAGAGGAAATCTTGGCTTCAAACCTTTCTGGTAAACTCACCAAGACTTTCTCCACAACTCTGCTATCTGGAAGTTGTTCTCCAATCAATCTGATTTTGTTCACAACATTTAAGAGTTTGTCAGAGTACTCTTTAATGTTTTCTTTGTCTTTCATCCTAAGGAGTTCAAATTCTCTCCTATGGTTCAAAACTTGCATCTGTCTTGTTCTGTCATTGCCTTGAAAAGCCACTTTGAGAGTATCCCAAGCTTCTTTTGCAGTTTCACAAGTCATAATTTTTGTGAATACTGCATCGGAAACTGCTGAATGAATGCAAGTCATGGCTTTTGATCTCCTTTTGACTGCATCCCTATGGGCTCTCATCTCTGCAATAGTTGGATCTTCTGACAATTCAGGAACAGGATCTGTCTCTACTACATCCCAAAGATCATTAGCATCCAAATAAGACTTCATTTTGACAGCCCAGATTTGGTAGTTTTCACCAGTGAAATTTGGAGGATTGGACAAGAAGTTGTTTCCTGGCATTTTGATGTTGAAGGCTTAAGTGTATAATTTTATAGTGAAAAGGGTTTCTCACCAAGTTCACTCACTCTCAAAAACAAAACTCAGGCCCTTAAGATATAGGCTCTTGATACCACTTTGTTGGTTTTTTGGGGCATGAACTAAGAAACAACACCTTAGTGTTGCAAAAAAAGCTTTTAAGAGACTTGTGTTGAAGGTGAAAAATGAGCTTATTGTTCTACATTCATCAACTCACTATTTATAGTGATTACATGAAACAAACTAGCAAAATATTCAACTAACAATTATCCTAGAAATCTCAACAAAATATAATCTCCTTCTACTAGCAAATCTTATCTAAAATATCTGTTAACAAACCAACATGATCTTTTGTTAACAAATATCCTTATTTTTCTAATAACTAATTTTTGATATCAAACTCAATTTGATAAAATCTGTAGGAAAAGCTGGCATAACTCAACAGTTTCTTTATTTTTTAAAGGCATAATTTCAGAAACCTCGCCTTAGGTTTCTGACAGTCTAACTTGATGCCATCAAACTTTGAAAAATCTTACTTGTCTCCCCTATTTTAAACTTTTGTTAACATTTGAAACCCATTTCAAAATATAATATTGAAAAACTCATTATAGGAGAGAGAATACAATTTCATTCCAGATTTGCCCCTTTTCTTGTGATTTCTTAATTGTCACAACACACCAAATTTATCTTTTAATTTTTGTAAATTGATCAATGTAATTATTAATGAAAATTTAAAAGTTGATAATAAGATTGAAAAACTCTTTAATAGTTTTTGTATCATTGGTTTGGACAAAAGAAAAAGTTAATTACCTAAAATTACGAATGATTTACAATACTCTTGTATATTATTTTTAGCATGTTGTATTTGTTTAGTTTTCAAGCTATCAATTTGGACAAAAAAAGTTAGAAAATTCAAGAAAATATATATGATTTATAAAATTTCTTAAACTAACCCAAAACACTTTTCAGTAAAGAAAATATTATTTTTGTAACTCGAAAAACTTTAGAACTTTCAAATATTAACTATTGATAATAGAAAAAACACTATATTTTGTTCAATTAGAGTAAACCTCCATACTTTTTATTTTTTCTTCATTAATAATATACACACATTTTTGTAATAAAAAGTAAGACAACAAAAGGGCAAATTTATAATATATTTACTCTCCTAGAATGATTTTTTTAGTATTATATTCAAAAATGGGTAATAAATTATACAAAAAGCATAAGATAAGGAAGAAAAGTGATATTTTTCAAAGTTTAAGGGTTCCAAGTGAAACAGTTAGAAACCTCTAGAGAGGTTTGTGAAATTATCCTTTTTTAATTGGCTTCATTTTTGAAAATCTGCTTATTTATTATCCCTCCCCAAATATTCTTTGAAAACTTCATTCTTTTCAAGGTTGACATTTTATTTCGGGTGCATTTGATAAAATTGAAATTTGAAAACTAAAATTTGAATTTTGAATCTATTAAATTACTAAATTGTTAATTACTAAATATGATACATTTGAATATATATCGGATTAAGTGATAAATGAATAGTTTATCACTTATTTTTTGGACAAAGTTTTGCCTAAGAATTTCAGTGTCACTTAATTAATTCGAAAGTTTTATTTTTTGTTATCCAACACTCTGAACATGTTAAAATCTGAACCTATTAAGTTTAAATACTGAATTGGGTTATCAAACAAGTAATATTTAAGTTCATCTTAGTAATGTTAAATTCATATAAAGTAAAGGTAATTAAAATAATTTATTTCTTATTCCCCAGAGCTAAGATTACTATAAACTATTTCTTTAATTTTCATATTGTATATTGGAAATGGGGTTGTCCTCCCATGTTAACGTTACCTCCTAAATTTCATATGGGGAAAAATACGACAATCTTCCCTCTAATCTGTTAAAAAAAGTGAAGATCTTGCTTCAGGATTTAAGAATAATAACAAAAAAGCGTCTACCCTATTTTGTACTTAAGCAAAATTACAAATCTTCCCTGGTGTAAAGTTATCAGTGGGAGTTAACAACATCACACAATATCTCTATCTGTTTCCGAAATATTCTTTACAGTGACAGCGAAACAACAGACACTAGCACTGGATTACCCATTGCATTTTAAGGTGGAGGGATGGACTGAGTGGGACAATGAGAGGAAGTGGAGAGAGATGGATTTGATGATACGAAACAAGGCAGCGTAAGTCAGAGATCCTAAATTTGAGACGTCCCACTTACACTAAAGAAAAAATGTACTATGTTAAACTTACCCAAGGCCACTTTCTTCTAATATTATTTGTTGTAGAAAAATGGTTTTAGGTCTACTATGATCTATAGAAAACAATTACTCTAATTTGTAAGAGGAAAATTTTGTATTATTTCGTCTACCTTTTGATTTGTATTTTGGCCTTGAGAACTATTTTGGTCTACTCTGTCTCACGTTGCCATGCTTTTTTGAAATAATAATCAACAGATTTCAGTCAGATTCTCTAATGCATTACAAGAGCATAAGAGGCACGGATGTTTTGGGAAACCAAAAAATAGGAAAGATGACCTGAGGAAAAGAAAAGAAAAAAAATAATAAAGAGAGACTAGGGAATAAAAAAGAAAAGTAATAAAGAAAAAATGAAGTCGAGAATAAATTTGTTCAGACGCACTTGTTATTGATGATGATGGATACAGAACGCATGAAGGGAGGTCTTTGTTATGATGAAATTTTGGGGGTGGTCTCTAATGTTTCTCAAAACTAAAAGGGCGGTCAGTATTATTTACCTTTTTTTTTTACAATAAAAACAGCATATTATATTGCATAATAACAAGGTTTACATAATCTGTGTACAGACTTGGAGCAACTCATCCTATATCTTCCCCACCTAATCTAGTTAACTAGAGAGGGAAGGAAACCTTCCAGTGAACATCATCAATAAAGTTTAAGGCAAATCTTGCCAAGTTGTGACTTACACATATACCTTCTCTTCTAATGAATGAGAAACAACATTACAGAATTTCTATTTAAGCAATTTAATATCTTCAATTACAGTTCCAATCTTTGCATCATGTGTATCCTCTTCCAAAGTCTTGTCCACCGTCACCTTGCAATCAGATTGTATTTCTGCATTCCTCCATCCCTCCTGCATGGCTTTAAGTAGAGCTTTTCTGAATGCACAGGATTCTTCCACTACCAGGTCACTTTACCTCTTTCGGCTCCTGCTCAAGCACCAATAATATCACCATTTTCCTTTCTAGCGACTATTCCCCAACTAACTCTTCTCTTCTTCATATTTGTTGCTGCATCA